ATTTTTCAAGTTATAATAAATATATCCTTCGTTAGGTTCTTTCACTTCAATACTTATACACATAAACGATAATAGCCAATATGTTTGTGTACTCGCTAATTTGAATACTGGTAAACAATCAACTAGTTACAGTTTACGAAAAACGGTTCCGATAAAAATTTAAAAAACGAGATGACCCACCTCTAGTTTTTTAGGTATATTAGGATCGGAACCAGAAAATATGTAAAATATCTCTGATCGGAACTATTCGTCTCACTAATGGGCAATGAGTGTTAAAAATATTTATGGAGGGAAGACCAAGGAGAAATATGATTGTTATCTTTGTTTATTCGCTGAAAATATGATTTTATATCTGCGTTAGATATCCTGTTAAATTTTACCATACCGACCATAAACTTTTACCTACACTGTATACATCGCGCTTACTAGCAGATAAACCGGAAAAGTGGTAAGAAACCAAATCGATTATAAAATGATTAAAGAGATATATCGTAACACCATCAAATCAGTTAAAACATATCTAGCAGCAGATCTCACATTACACCATAACCCACTAATTGCTAATCTCACAATTAAGCTTAAACGTATTAGAAAACTCCAAAAAACTCCAAAATTAGATGACTGAATTAGAAAACTGAAAGAAACTGATATAAAAAACAAACTTTAACAGAAAATACTTGATAAATTAGATACTAACACCTACGACATAAACTTACAATGGCAAACATTAAAAATATGCCTTCTCGTTCCATGAAAAGATATATTAAGAGAACCGATAAGAAAGAGAGACAACAAAAAAAGACAAAGAAATAGCAGGGCTGTAAAAAATAAATCACAATACAACTCTTTAAGATAAAAATGGAAATACTATGACAACGACTGACGAAAAGCTAAAATGATGGAAAAAATATATAGAAGAGCTCTTCGACGACGAAAGAGGAAACCTACAAGACATATACTTTCGAAGACAGAGAATTAAGTATACAAATTGCAAAGAAAGAAGTCCTATGCACTAAAGAACACCAGAAACGGATAAATCCCGGGGCAAGATCAACTTATTCTTAAGATAATAGACAATGAGTACATGGTTGTCTTCTTAAAGCTCTTTAATGAAATTTATCAGTCGGGTAACATACCCAATGAAAGGTTGACCTTAAAATCTATTTGTTTCCAAAAAAAAACAAACATAAAAAATCTAGAGAATATACCGACCACTGCACCATAAACCTGATGTCTCACACGCTTAAAATGTTTTTAAATCATCCAGAAACGCATTTATCAAATATTTAATATGGATATTGAAGAAATCCAATTTGGATTCCGTAGAGGCATAGGTACCCATAAAGCTCTTTTGCATTTAACGCACTAATCCAGAGATGCTTGGATGTGAGACAAGATATATGTACGTCTGTTTCCTAGATTACAAAAAGGCTTTTGATAAACCGTCACAAAGATCTAATAGACGTTCTCAAAGCAAAACAATTACAATAAAATGACCTTCGCATTTTAACAAATCTATATTATAAACAGCAGGTTTACGTACGCATTAATGAACACCCATCAGAAGAGTTTGAAATTAAAAAAGGAGTGCGACAGAGGTGTGTATTGTCACCATGACTTTTCAATGCATACTCTAAAGAAATTATGAAAAGAGCTCTTGAAGGAGAAACAGCAGGAATAAAGGTCAATGAAACACCAATTATAGTGTATATATGTATGAGAGAGTAATAAAACAATAAATTATGTATGCAAATCCCTAAACTGTTGATACGGGTGACTCAATGAAAAACAGATATTTGTCAACAAGTTTACAGAAGTATATAGGAAAACAATTTTAAATTGAGTACGACCACCAGGTATAAAGGTTGGAACAGAATAGAATACAATAGTTGTGAGGGTTACTAATCCCTAAATAAGGTTGCCAGTGTCGGAGTGATGGAGGTTAACAGGTACTAATGAATTTGCAAGAAATGTAAGATGTTTATTTTATTGGTTATATAACCAATAAAAGTTTAATAAGTACCTACCTATTTGCAAAATAAAGTTTAATTCTTTAGATAAAATAAAACGTTTTATTTTATCTGAAATGAGTGCATTCCACGAAGTAAGGGTTTCAACAATCAAACATTTAATTCTGTAATTCCAGGAATCTACGACAGTAATTGACTAGATAATTACCTTCTAAACTTATTCCACAGAAAATGTGATAGTGGGTTTTTCCATTTTGTAGGAAGGTACAAGTGGCGTATTCAAAATTCTTAACAGTTCACTAAAAGTAGGTACTTCAGTTGCAAGGTGCAGTTTATTGTGTATACTAGTGTTATGGAAAATTTGGAAGTGCCGTGTAAACGCCGAAAAATTGGTCCTTTAACAGTTAATGAAAAAACATTAATATTTAATTGTCTTAAATAATTTACAGACAAACGTTTATGTGAAAGTGTTGATGAGACCGTTGAGTTAGTTAGCAGTACACTTGGTGTTGGGAAATCTACGATTTACAGAGTTATTAAAGAAGAGAAATGTGGTAGTTTTCAAATGCCACGTAATGCTCCAGGGAAACCAAAATTTCAAATAGAATATCATTTTAAAGAAGGACTTCGACGGAAAGTGCATGAATTCTTCTTTAGACAAGAATTTCCAACATTGGATTAAGTTCTTGTCTCAGTTCGAGATGATAAGGATTACCCAGAAATGAGTCGAATTACGTTATGGAAACTTTTAAAAGAAATAGGCTTCCGCTTAAAAAAGAATCCCAGAAAGTCTATTTTATTAGAAAGAAGCGATATTGTCATATTGAGAAGACATTTTCTAAGAACCACAAAGGAAATGAGAAACCAAAAAAGAAAAATATTTTATCTTGATGAAACATGGATCAACGAGGGTCATACACCAAATAAATTTTGGCAGGATGAAACTGTTACAAGTCAAAGGCACGCTTTTGTAAATATCTTATCTACTGGTTTAAACCAACCATCAGGAAAAGGACGCAGGCTGACAATAGTACACATTGGCAGTTTAGACGGTTTTGTTAAAGGTGGTTTATTAACTTTTGAATCAACTTTTTACCGGTGACTACCATGAAGACATGAACGCTGATGTCTTTCAAGAATGGTTCGAACAAATGATAGATCTTCTTCCTAAGAACTGTGTAATAGTAATGGATAATGCAAATTATCACTCCAGACTAATAGAAGGACTGCCCACAACCAAGTGGTTAAAAAAAGACTTGCAGAATTGACTGAGTTCAAAAAATATTACGTACCATCCCGGATCTATAAGAAAGGAACTTTATTCGTTGTGTGCCCTTCATAAAGAAAAATTTAAAAAATACGAAATTGATGAAATTGCCAAAAATCGTGGAATGACAGTACTTAGATCCCCACCATATCATTGTAAATTAAACCCGATTGAACTGGTATGAGCACAGATAAAGAGTGAAGTTTCAAGAAAAAATACCACTTTTAAAATTCATGATGTTAAACAGTTGTTTTTGGAGGCCGTAAATAATGTAAAACCTGAAAACTGGGAAAAGGCAGTAAATCACACTATTAAAGAAGAGGAAAAAATGTGAAAGCTGGACAATATTACTGATAAAATGATCGAGCCAGTTATTATAAATCTTGGTTCTGAAAGTTCATCTTCTGAATCTGATTTGGATTTGTAACAAGTAGCTCTAAGTTTTATATTAATATTTTTATTCATCTATTTAACATACCTTAGACGGTTTTGAAAACTCTTTTTCTCTTTTGTAATTTTTAAAAATTAAAAAAAATGTGAAATTTTTAAAAACCTTTTTATTGTAGGCCAGTCAGTTCTAATATAGTGTGTGATAAAAGAGGTCACTTTTGTTTACATACACATAATTATGTGTATGTAAACTAATGTAAATGTAAAAAAAATATGTATATACATATTATTCAAAGTAATTTTTCAATTAATCTTGAGCACGCCCATGAAGTGGTCGGAGGTACCAGTTAAAATTATGCTAATTACTCTCTCGTTCATAAAAATAAACTATAACAACATAAAATATGCTGACAATACTATCATAATAGTACAACTTCCAAGACCTCCAAAAGTTAATAAATAATATAATTGAGTATGGAGAAGAATATGGATTATCAATAAACATCAAGAAAACTAAAGTTATGGGGATATCAAAAATCCTAAATAATGATAAAAGCCTGACAATTAACGGTAAAACTTTAGAACAAGTTAAAAACTACAATTATCTTGGCACAATAATTAATGAGACAAATAATTACTCCAAAGAAATCTAAGTTCGAATAGAGAAAGCACGAACAAACTTCAATAAAACGAGAAAGATAGTTTGTACAAGAGAATTGAAGTTACATTTAGAGTTAGGCTGTCAAAGTGTTATATTTTCTCGAGTCTGCTTTACGGGATAGAAGCATGGACGCTTAACGCGTCAACTACTAAAAAGTTGAAAGCATTGTGGGTGTATAGAAGAATGCTAAAGATATCATGGACCGAGCATGTAACAAAAAACGAAGTCATGAGAAGAGAAGAAAATAAAAGAATAGAAGTATCTTCGTCGCGGAGATGGCACGTAAAGAAAAAGAAGAAGAACTTAAAAATGTAAAAAAGCATAGGATTTTTACCGTTTTAAATTTTGTTTTTCTTCTCCTGAAAAATCGCCTGTGCCCTTGATTTGGTATCTAACCACTATATTTATTCGTTTGTGATTTTGTTATTGAATCAGAACATCGTGTCTTTAAAGGTATGAGGTACATATTATTATAGTTTTTATACATATACATATACAAGTTAATATTTATATAAGTTATTATACAGCTTCTGGTATTTGTAATTATTACTTATACTTATTTACTGATAACGAAATAAAAACTACAGAATACCTGCTGATTTTTTTTACATGATTTTAACATAATTATCGATACAGAATTTTACACTAATGAGTGTTTCGTACTCGCATTAACAATTTTGGTTTCACCATGTAAAATACTGAATACGAATTTAGTATTATCGTTGCCATGAAACTTGCGAAAAGTACACGCTATTTTAGATAGTGACTGAAAAATATAAATTCAGAATTATTCTTAGGTAGCCGTTATTTTCTTTAATAATGGATTCTACCAAAAAGCACGACAATCCATCACCTCAAATATCAGCAAACATTTTATCAAGAATATTTTTCTGGTAAGTTAATAAGTAAATATATAAGAAATACTTTTTTTTTACAACTTTCTTATCATTATTATTTTATTTTTGTCGCGGTCTCATTTTTATTTTTTATCGTCCCTATTGATTTTATTGGCAGGTCTAAGTATTGCTTTGACTTAATATGTCATTTTTTTAAATATCTATTTTTGTGAAGATTTTATTTTACCTATTTAGCCACCCGATTTATTTGCTAAGGAAAAACGTAAACAATTTCTATTCCGCCATTTGTGTTTCTATTTCATTTATCTACTAATTTCCCTTTATTTGTTATCGCACTGCCTTAAATGCATATTATACATACATTTTGAAGAGCATGATATAACTAATGCAACTTTACAGAGATCTAAATTATTTATATAGTTTATAATATATCGACTGAGGTCGCCATTAGAAAGTCCTTTGATCCGACATCATAAGATCTTATAGATTTTGAATAGGTTTGTCATACGATGGGTCTTTTTTAGGTTAATTTTTAAACCAGCCTTGGTTGACGCAGAGTATTGTGTACTGAACAACAATTGGGCCTCTCTGAGACTCTCTAGAATTATCAAGATATCGTCAGGAAAGAAGAAGTAGTTTAATATGTCACAATCCATTTCATGTTATCCCACTTAAATTTGTTAAACATATATTCTGACAAAACTGTAGAGTTTTGGTGATATATTATAACCTTCTCGTACTCCGCGTTCCATTTTCAACGTTGATGTATTGGTTGTAAAGTTTCACATTGATGTTGGGCTTTTATATATAAATATATATATATATATTATATATATATATATATATATATATATATATATATTATATATATATATATATATACATATATATACTAACAGTCGCACTTTATTTTCAGTTTTTTCCTGATGATGAAAATAAACATTTTCGAAAGCTTGAAACTTAGTTAAAAGAGTACACTTATTTCACCGCTGAATAAATCCCAATAAACCTCAAAGCTCCGTTTTCTAACGTTGTCAGCAAAGACTTCTTTTCCTTTTCTATATATATATATATATATATATATATATATATATATATATATATTTCTAATTAATGTTTATTTTTGGTCTACTCTACCTTCAGCTAGTGAAGCAATTATTGTATCTTCGTATAGGTACTGAGTAAAACGCTTTATCGTAGTCCACAAATATTAAGAAGTATGGTGTGTTGTATTTCACTGATATATCACTCTATCTTCTTCGTTGTATGTCTCATCCTTTAAGGACATTGGTGATCATCATGGCCCATTTTACTTTGTTAGCAGCAGTTCTAAAAAGTTTTATTGTTATTTTTCCACTTCACTGCTTTTAATTTTTTAACCAGAATGTGCGTCGTCTCCCTGATCCTCTTTGTCCTGTCACTTTCCCTTGTATAAACAATCTCATCAACTCGTATTTTTTTATTTCTTAGTATGTGATCAAAGTGAATCATTTTTCTTTTCTTTACAGTGTTGAGTATTTCTTTTTCTTTTTTGTCTTTATAATGTTTCCGTGGTTGTTATGTTTTGTGTCCACGATATTTTACACATTCTTCGATAACAACATAATCTTGAATTTGGCAAGTCTTCGTTCAGTTGCGTCCGTGAATGTACAGGCTTCAACTCCATATAGAAGAGTAGAAAATACCTAGCATTTCAAGACTCTAATTCTCATTTCTATTCCATTTTCCACTGCTTAATATTGATTTCATCTGCAAGGCTGCAATACTGCGTAGTGCGATCAACTAAAGTTTGCAGCCCTTCTCGGCAGTCCGCAGAAACTATTGTATCGTCTGTGTAACTGAGATCATTTCTATAAGTGCTTTAAAAAGTAGCTAGCAGTCATTTGTACTACAACCGACTCCAAAATCTGCTTGTTCTTTAACTTAATAGAAACCTAGTTGGGGAATTAATGGTTTTAATCAATAATTTGTATACCTACGTGGGAGAAAAGAGTAGTTGGACGGTTATCCTTTAGATCTATGGGTGATCCCTCTTATGAGTGATTTTCATTATGGCATATCAGCGTTTATAATTACGTTGAAAGTCTTCCAGTTTCTAACCATCAATATAATATGACTTTAAAACCATAAATTACTTTTTGTTCTTCCCTATTTCTTCCTTTTCTTCTTTCTACTTTATAAATAGGCTTAATGCCTATTTAACTTTGGTTTTTAGCCTCAATTAATGTTGTCTGACCATCTTTTTCCTCGGTCATACCAATGATCTTCTTCCATTTGGCGATTTGTCTCTTGCTATTCATACTATCCTATTTTCTGTCATTTTTTCGATGTGTTGATTCCATTCTACTTTTTTTCTTTTGGTCCACGCATTTATTTCCTCTATACCACATTTCGCTCGTATTTTCTCACTCATTACTCTGTCTCTTAGAGTTTGGTTTGTTATTCTTCGTAAGACTTTCATTTCTGTTGTTTCCAGCAGTCTTTGTGTTTTCGCCGTATCTGCTCTTGTTTCTGCTGTGTACGTCATTATCGGTCTTATTGTTGATTTATATATCCCGGGTTTCCTTTCCGTTGTAAGGTATTTGTTTCTCCAGATTGTGTTGTTGTGACATCCTGCTGCTCTGTTTGCCATGTTCACTTGTATTTGTACTTCCTCTCCCACTTTTTCGTAGCTTGACAGTTTTATTCCCAAGTATTCAGTTTCCATCACTTGTTCTATTATTTTTTTATTTAAGACTAGTTTACATCGTCTCGGTTCCTCTGATATCACTATCGCTTTAGTTTTCTCTGTTAAGATTTTCTTCTCTTCTGCTTAAGGTGCCGTACATTTCTGCGTTATATATCCGTACCTCTGAGGTAAAGGACACTATGTCCATTTTCTTACTTTTTAAGGAGAGCAGTTTTAACATTTTTTAAATTTGTAATCAGTAAATACTCAAATGTTTCTGATATTTAACCAAAATTATTATATTATATTAATTTTGGTTTAATATCAGAAACATTTGAGTATTTACTGATTACAAATTTAAAACATGTTAAAACTGCTCTCCTTAAAAAGTAAGAAAATGGACATAGTGTCCTTTACCTCCGAGGTACGGATATATATATATATATATATATATATATATATATATATATATATATATATTATATATATATATATATATATATCTGTTGAGATCACCATGTTGTATATAAGTGTATCTTTGTAGGTCATCTTCATGTTCGGCTGTTATTATGGCGTCGTCGGCGTAGCATATTATCCTTATTTCCTTTTTCTCCCATTCTATATTCTCCCCTTTTTTTAACTTTCTTTATGATTTCATCCATTATCAGATTAAATAATATTAATGATCTTAGCGAATCTCCTTGTCTAATGCCAGTTTCATATTTAATAGGTTGCTATAGTTTTCCTTTACATCTTGCCATAGCTATGTTATCTTTATATATATTCTTAATGATTTTTACTAAATCCAGTGATATTCCCTTTTCATATAATAAATGTATCGCGTCCCGAATTCTCACTCTATCAAACGCTTTCTTCAAATCTATCAGACATATATATGCTGATTTGTTGTATTCCAGCGACTTTGTCTTATTACAAAAACTGCATCCGTGCAAGATCTTCCTGTCCGAAATCCTTGCTGTTGCTCTTGCAGAGATATTTCTTTGTTTGTTTTTGTCGCTATTATTCTTGTTGTCAATTTGCGTGTTGTATTTAAAAGATTTATTGCTCGATAGTTATTGGAGTCTTTCTTATCTCCTTTTTTGAAGGACATCACCATGATTGCTCTCCTCCATTCATCTGGTATTCTGTTCGTCGTGAATATTTTATTAATAAGAAGTTGCAGTTGTTGTACAAGGTTATCACCTCCATATTTTAAGAGTTCATTTGTTATTTGATCTTCTCCTTGTGACTTCCCTGGTTCTTCCCTATTTAATATATTCAATCTCATTTCTCTTAATTGCATTTCAATTCCTGTAATTGTATGTAATGTGACTGTCAATGTAATTTCAGATAATTTTTTGAGCCCTGATTGTAAATATGTATTACGTCATTGTTAGTGGTGGCATTATTATTGTGTAGTTCGCTGTACAATTCTTCTAGGGTTTTGATTATGTCTTCTTTATATGATGTTACTATACTTTTTGGACCACGGCCACGTAGCTTGTGAATGTCTTTTATTCCTTGTGCTAAACTTTTCTCAATACCTTGTTTCAAAGTTTTTATTCTATTTTATTACAAAGCACGTGGTGTTTGTGTGTATTAAGGTATAAAAAAAGCGCTTATTAAAAGCTTAAAATTTTTTATTATAAAGATCTTTTCGGAATTGTATCATTCCATCATCAGTTTAATAAAAAGTTGTTAAAAAACATTGTGTGGCCACATAAAAAACATTCGATGGACATCTGGATTTAAAAATAATAATCTTCGTGTTATTTATTCAGGTAAATGCAATAGACTCTTGACTTGTGTAATATAAAAAAATGAAACTGGGGGCATCTTATATGACCCCCTGTAGTTGGTGAGGTTTTATTGACTTACATTACCTCTGATCTGTGTTGGAGTCTAGGGCTAACTGCAGTTAGCTCTAAACAGTTCTCAATCAGGTTTCTTTTATGATGTTATAAAATGCTACTTTGTCTTCTTTGGTTGTTTCTTCTGTAGGGGCGTAGCAGTTAAATATCGATATGTTTGCTTGTTTGTTCTCTGTTCTAATGAAGGATATCTTTTTATTAACTGCTTTGAATTGTATTAATTTTTCTTCTAGTCTTCTATTCACCATAATGGCTGCCTTTTTTTTGTTTGTTTTCTCCTGAATAGTACATTTACAAATTGTTTTCTCAATGTTTTCTTGATATTCCATCGTATTTCCTGCAAACCTTGCTGAATTTAAATTTCTAGCTTATATTTTTACATTTATAGGCCTATTTCTTGCACCTTACCTATTGATAGCACGGTTTAGATATTCCATTATCCGATGTTAATGGGCTTTACTCTTTTCTTCCTATTATATTTCTTTTTTTTACTTCTA